CCGGGGCGCGGGGCCACTTAGTCCCCCCCCCCCCCCCCCAGCTGCTCTGGTCCTGATTCAGCCGCTGCTGGTCAGTTTCAGCAGCAGCAGAATCAGGACGCCTGGGGCAGAGCAGCTGGGGTGCCGCCGGGTTGCTCCAGTAGAGCCAAGGAGCCAAGACAGCCGCTCTTGGCCGTGCTCTCCGTTGAGTTGCTCTGCCCCAGGCTTCCTGGAATCAGCCGCTGATCAGTTTCAGCAGCAGCTGACTTGGGGACGCCTGGGTTTCTTAAGTTGAATCTGTATGTAAGTCAGAACTGGCATCCAGATTCAGCCGCGGTTGAAACTGATCAGTTTCAGCAGCGGCTGACTCCAGTTCCGACTTACATACAGATTCAACTTAAGAACAAACCTACAGTCCCTATCTTGTACGTAACCCGGGGACTGCCTGTATTACAATTAAAGTAGGCTCTTCCAGGTGGGAAATCTGCATTTCAGAAAGTCCCATGCACGTTGCATTAGATATGTTGGAAACCCTAAAACCACATCCCCGTGCATTTTAGGTACCAGATTATCCTAGAAACATAGGGCTGGAAGAGACCCTCAGGAGGTCATCAAACCCAGCCCCTTGCCAAAGCAGGACCAATCCCAACTAAAATCAACCCAGCAGGACTTTGTCAAACTGAGACTTAAAGGCCTCTAGGGATGGAGATTCACCACCTCCGTAGGTAACACATCCCAGAGCTTCCCCAGCCTCCTAGGGAAATAGTTTTTCCTCCTATCCAACTTCGATCTCCCCCACTGTAACTTGAGACCACTGTCCTCATTCTGCCATCCGTCACTATTGAGAACAGTCTCTCTCCATCCTCTTTGGAACCTCCCTTCAGAAAGTTGAAGGCTGCTCTCACATCCCCCCTCACAGACTAAATAACCCCTCAGCCTCTCCTGGTAGGTCATGCGCTCCAGCCCCCTAATCATTTTGATCGCCCTCTGCTGGATCCACTCCAATGCGTCCACATCCTTTCTATAGTGGGAGGCCCAGAACTGGACGCAGTACTCCAGATGTGGTCTCACCAGAGCCAAATCAAGGGGAATAATAACTTTCTCTAGATCTGCTGGCCATGCACCCTAATGTTCCATTTGCCTTCTTGGCTACAAGGGCGCGCTATGCAGAGACAGACACAGTTAAGTCATTAGCTGTGGCAGAGATCCCATAGTCTTGAGATGTCTGAGGGGGTTAATGACACCACACCTCACAACTCAAATTCCTTCAACTTGCAGCATGGATAGACTCTGCTAGCAGGGAGGCCTGAGTGGCTCAGCTAAGTGACGTGTGTGTCAACTAATCGGACTGACAGGGTGGTCCCATGGGTCAGGCCTTGGCTTGAAAAATCCAGAGAGTGGCGTTCTATTACCAGTGCTGCCAAGGACCTGTTGTGCCACTTCTCTGCTTTGTCCTATTTCGATAGCCCCCTGGCGGGAGGAAGGAATACCCGCTGGGATGCACAGGCCCAGTGCCTGTTTTCAGAGGCGTCTTTGGCTTCACTTACGTTGACTACAAAAGGCACAATGAGCAAGACCAGGATGAGCTCCAGCTGAGGATCTGGGATATAGTCCAATAAAATCTCCTGAAGCTGCAAAGGAAACAAAATTAAACATGCTGTTCAAACACTTCTCGGTTGCATGCTATTAACCATGAATTGTAGCGACCTTCCCACACTGGGCAGGGACAGCTGCTGCCTTTTTTACCCCACTACCTAAGAAACCGGAGCACGAGCTAGTCAGCCCCACCCCGACACTTCTGGCAGCCTGAGGGCCAGGCAGATGGTTGTTCCTTTATTAAAATGCTGGTCTTCTATGCTTTAACAAGGCATTAAAAAAAACCTAGCCAATTTTCCTTGGATTCTCTCACTGTGGTTGCAAGACAAGCGTATGAGATATTAACTTTGCATGAGGTGGGCTGGACAACATCCAGAAGTTTAGCGCCTACCTTCAGATTCCATAGTCACATACCGAGTGTAGAAATCTACAGCAACATGTCAAGTTTAGGAGAACTCTGCCACAGGGGCTCAGAATACAGGATCCAGAAGTAAAGAAACACTGATGTATCCCACCTTTAATGTCTCCCACCTTCCTGGCCCCACACAGTGGACGATCTTTACATTGTGGTAGTAGCTAGTGGTCAGAACAGATCAGATCCCTAAAGCTCCAACTTCTGAACCCAAAATAACAAGACAGCCTCTGCCGTGAAGAAGTTATAGTCTAAAACAGAGACAAAGGAACTACCATCACCGATTCACTGATGGGGAATGGAAACAGAAATTAAGTGACTTGTCCAAGGTGACAGTATATCGGTGGCAGGGCTAGGAATTGATCCCAGGTCTCCAGAGTCCTAGTCTACAAGCTCATGTATCCAAGGGCAGAACAACCTATTCAATTAACCTTATTGGTCTCTGTGACATGTCCCTACCACTAACCAATAAGATGCAATAACTAATACTGAGGCTATGTCTAGACTGCAGGCTTCTTTCGGAAGAAGCTTTTCCGGAAGAAATCTTCTGAAAAAACTTCTTCTGAAAGAGAGTCTACACAGCAAAAGCGCATTGAAAAAGCAATCTGCTTTTTCGACAGATAGTGTCCACACTGAATGGACACTCTCTCACATTTAAGCTGTGATTGCTATGAACAGAGTGGCCACCAGGGCACCTGTGCTTTTTCCTCTTTCCTCTTCTTTTGAAAGAATTCCTACTCCCCCATCCACACACGCCTTTTTCCTGAAAGCGCTCTTTCGGAAAAAGGCTTCTTCCTCATAGAAAGAAGTTTACCAATGTCAGAAAAACCCTTCTGTTCTTTCGGAAAAAAAATTGAAAACACAATTTCAGTGTGGATGTAAAATGAAGTTTTTTTTGGAAAAACAGCCGTTAAAAAAAAAAAAACCTTAGCAGTGTAGACATACCCTGAGTTACTTGCGGGCTCCTCATGAAATATGGCCTAATAAAGCATTAGCACATGCCAGACAATGGAAACCTCTGAGGGAACATCACCAGTAACTTACCTTTCTCCAGCCAGGGATGAACAGGACAAGGCTTACCAAAGTCTTCTCAAAGACCATTATCAGCAAGTAGAGGATGCACTGGCCAATCCAGGCAGCAGCTTGTGGAGGGTCACCTGGAAAAGTCAGTCAGTGAAAACCTACCATATAGAACAGGAGTAGAAAACAGCACAGATAAATATCAGAGCTCCCTCATGGAACACAAATGGCCTGATAAAGTTAAGAGGACTAGTACAGAAGGAGGAGGGGGAAGTGTGTGTACAGTGCCCCAATAGACCAGCCTGCATATACACCTCTGATCACTCCTAGAAAGGATGCTAATCTGTGTGGAGGTTACAGTGATCCAGGTGGAAGATGAGAGGGGAGGGAATTCTACTGGCAGCTAATGAAGCATGTCCTTCCTCTCAAGCTGAGTGCATGGCTTTGGAGCAGAAAGTCTGCACTTCAGTGAATTAAAAACGGCTCCTGTCTCTGGTCAGATTGCTTCAGATTTAAAACGGAGCAATATTCTCACTTGGTGCAAACCATTTTTTCCAATGTGCCATCAAATTCCATCTTGCCCTATCTAGCTTAATGAGGGCCTCTGTCTTCTCTAGATTCTAAGAAAATCTAGGTAACTATTCCAGCAGCAAACATTGCCACCTCTTCATATTCTTTTCCAGGCTACTGGGAACAAATAATATATGAGCCCAGAAGCAGACTAATCAGGTAAATGCCATGGCTTGGGATTTTTGGGAGGTCAGATTAGAGCTAGTAGGCTTTCCTGGCCTTAAAAATCTTTTAAGCACTGGCCCGAATCCTGATCTTTGATACGATGCACTACCAAGATTAGAACAGATCACTTCTTCCTATTCTATGCTGAGATAACTCCATCCATCTCTGAAATGCAGCCACTTGTGGTATGTTGTCCAATATTTGCTAACACGCTGGTCAGGGCTGCAAACTCAGAATATAGTCTCCAAGTGCCAATTAAAGGGAAGCTCTAGGCAGCTCCTGGTATGTGTCCCCATGTTGAATCTGAAAATGCTAGGGGCAGGTAGGTAGATGACTTATTCTCCTGTCATCTGAAGAAGTAGGTAGTGCCCACGAAAGCTTAGGATACCATCCTCACGTTTTGTTATTCTTTAAGGTGCTACTAGACTATTTGTTGTTTACGTTTTTCCTGCTACAAACTCGGCTCCCACTCTGAAGACCTAAATGGTCACAGCCTCAGTGATCAGTATCTCCCAGAAGGCACGGTTTGCACAGCTAGCACTGCATCCCACATATACTTCATCTTCCATGGTGGGGCTGTATCGGATATAGGTTGGCTGGGATCAGAATACAGAAGGCCCGAGACAGACAGGGCTCCCATCCCGGGTTTCCAAGGAATCTGGTCAGAAAATCAATGCTAGTTAAATATGGATGACAGGTACTTAAAGTGAAAATTGAAAGCATATTAACTGTCAGCAGAAATAATGCAGCCATATCTATTACGCACAGTAGACTCAGGCCTGCCGGAGCATCCTGCCATCTGCTCATCATCTTCCTGGGTTCACGACTGTCTGCTGGGTCTGCAAAATAGGGACCCGGCTCACGAGACATAGGTCACATTTCCTCCAGACGTTTGAATACCAAGAGACTGGCGGCAAATCTGTTTGCAGTGCAGCCAAGAGCCCAGAACTGCTCTTACAGCAGAGAATGCTTCTACTCCCAGAGGAGCAAAGCAACTCAGCTCCATCTTTTCCTCTGGCAGGCTGGCAGCAAACCCCATGACAGCTCATACGTCCTATTGGTGCGAAGACAGGGCCAGCACTTATTTCCATTGGGGAGGTGACTCTGTAAACATGAGGCAGGTCAGATGATACCAGGGGGATGCACTCTGCTGCTTCCAGGGCTGTATTGGCTGGGGATGAACTCAAGACCTTTGTCAAACCGACATCTCGCAGGAGCGGCGAGAGAGAGAACCACTGAAATGTTTGATCAACGTTTCTGATGCCTCCAACACTAAGGACACACTTCGGAGACATCCAAGCGCTGCTGAGCCTTCTGCACACTTTTGGTTGAGCCCCAGAGACTTATGGCAGCCAGCACTAAACGCAGCCGGCAACAGGAACACCCTGGACTGTTTGTCTGCATGACACAAACCAGCACTCCTGGGGGGTCTGGCGTTGCTACAGTGAGCTCTGATAAAGCCAGCACAGGAATTCTGGCAGGCTGAGAATCCGGAACGGCAAAGGGATCATCTCATTAACTCCCTTAGCTACAGGTTGAACCTCTCTAGTCTGGCAATGTCCGTGGTCCTGCACGTTGTTAGTGAGCTGGGTGCCCACTTACTATGAGTGTGGCCAAGTTTCCATTGGTCCCATAAAGTTTTACAGCCACCAGTCCTGGCTCTCAGGGTTCTGCGCTGTTCTTTAGCTCTAATATACCCCTAAATGTTTCCTAAGAGCTCAGTAAGCAGTGGAAGTGTTGGTAAGGTTGCGAGGCAATATTAACCTCCCATGGTTCAACAAATTCTCTTGTTTGGCACTGGTCAGGTGCTGAGGGTGCTGGACTAGAAGGGGAAAAGCCAAGAAAGCAAGGGAGGCTGCGGAAATGGGAAAAGATAGGTAGGTCTGGGCAACAGGAGCCAATAAAAGGAGGAAGAGGTAAAGGGAGCAAGACAATCCGGGGAAAGGAGGGAGAGGAGAGCCGAAAAGGCCAAAAGGTAGGAGGGGTGAGTGGGACCCAAGCCAGCCAACACGGACATCAGCTTACAGCAGCTGAAGTCTTGAACAGTGTTGGCAAGAGCCGGGCAGGGAGAAGCTGCATGATGGTAGTTGGGAACCAGGAAAAGGCTGCTCCCCTGGCTTTGGAAGGGGGGGGTTCTGTGCTTCAAGAACAGCACAGACCCAATAGACTCATCAGAACCAAGGGGCTGGGTTCCAGCTATTCCTTGGCCCGGAGCAAGTTGCATTTGTTTTCTTGTCACGTACCGACGTCGGATCCATTCTCACGTAATTCCCTGCATCTGAAACCTTGGTATTCTCATCCAAAGCCCAAGCAGAGGCAAAACAAATCCATCCTTTCTCTTCTCTTTGTGGCACTTCCAGCCGACGTGCCTGGACCCCAGAATTAAGGCTGGATCTTGGAAACACAGCAGCCGTCCCCAAGCCCGCAGCTGCCTGGCCACTGCACTCCACAGCTGACACGGCTCTTGGTTACATCTGTCATCATTCGGCAATGCTCATCTGGAGATAAGCTTTATCCCATGGATTGCTACAACTTTTACAGGCTACATGCGTGCGGCTAGCGGACGAGGTGCCAGCTCTCATCAAGGATTTAGGCCTGAGCGGAGTGCTGGCAATTTTGTTGCTGGAAAGCAGTCCAGCTCAGTGGTACATTAGTATGGTTAAGATGGGTACTGGACTTTGTGGAGATTTCGTGAAATCCCTATAAGTTGCGACATGTATTAATCCTTTTTATAATGTCTGAATCCCATGGTACACAAGGTAATACTTCAGCGTTTGCTATATCACTGTAATATAGTTGTTCTGAACTAAAATTCATCCAACAAGACAAGATTTTGCTCAGTGCAAAGTGCTAAATCCCTATGAGAAGTGCTACCTCTTGGCCCGTCTGGAAGGACTATGAAAACGAAACACTGAGGGCCATCACCGTTCCAGGACTATCAATTGCCCCTTCATGCCCACCAAGGGGCTACCGAAAAAAGGTTCATCTCAGCAACCTGAATTCCAGAAGAAGGAAATAAAGAGAGCGGACAAGAAAATGTTTTGGCTTTTCTGCTGTCTGAACTCTCAGAGGACTCGAGCTATGAAACTGAAGCAGAAAGCCTTAAATGACACTGAGCTGACCAACTGCTATAGCTCGGTCACCTTTTGGAACCAGAGACTAACTCATCTGTGACTCTATGTTAGCCTGCTTGGACCTGTAAGTAACTTGATCATATCTTTTACCTAGTTAATAGATCCTGAGTTAGTTTGCCATAGGATTGGCATGGTCTTTGGTATAAGATGTGAGGTATAAACTGACCTGGGTAAGTGACTGGAAGCAGCCTGAATAATTCATAGAATCACAGAAGTGTAGGACTGGGAAGGTGTTTGAGAGGTCTTCTAGCCCAGTCCCCTGCACTCCAGGCAGAACTACATAAATAGATCATTTTTGTTTATCTAACCAGAGCTTAAAAACGTCCAGTGTCTGAAATTCCACAGCCTCCACATGCAGTTTGTTCCAAAGTGCTTAGCTATCCTGGACAGCTCTGACGTTTGGCCATTAGGAAAATCTAACTCTCCCTAAGACCATCTTGTCCTCATCTCAAATAGGGATGGTTCATTTCAATTAATCGACTAATCACAGTGGATGGAATTTCCATCGACTCCTTGATTGGTCGATAAGGGGGCACTCACTAGCCAGCTGTGCCTCTTCCTTTGAAATGTACAAGAGCCGTCTGTGGCCCTTGTAAATTTCAAAGGGAAAGGTGCAACAGCTGGGATGCCTCTGCGTCCTCTGCTCCTCGCAGAGAACGCTCCCCCCGGCACCAGCTCCTGCTCCCCGCCCCTTGCTGCCTCTGTCAAAGATACAACAAGGGGGAGAGAGGTGACTACTCAGCTATTTGATAAGCTTATGCTTATCAGGAAGTCAATTACTCACTTTCATCCCTAGTTTCAGAGATTAACGAGAACAATTTTTCCTCCCTCCTCCTCCTAACAATCCTTAATGTACTTGAAAACTTATAACTGCCCCCACCCTGTGTCTGTGCTTCTCCAGATTAAACAAACCCATTCCCCCCCCCCCCTAGATAACTCTGTGATCTTTGGTCCAGTTTGTCTGGGTGACAAGAGAGACTGGAATACCCAAAGGGCCACTATGTCTGATTCCATGGTAAGACTGTCAGAGTGCTTCGAGAGCTCCCCTTTATAACCTGGTTAGAGAAATCCAATTACAGAACACACCACCCGTTTGAGGTGTCGGCCCAGAAGCTGGTCTTCACAGTTGTGAACCTCTTTAGCCGGTGTGGCAAATCTGCTCGCTTGCTCTCTCCAGTGACAAACAGGAGCGTGAGGGGACTAGTGCAATACATCAGGTTATTTTACTATTAGTAACGGTCTTTTTTATGTAGCATGTGCCAGGCAGC